GAGTCAGAGAAGAGACTCCTTCCCCCTATTCTCTTCGCTTCAGATGTCTTTATACAAAGTTCCAAAGAACACTCTGGGACTTCTGTGTTATGCATTACATGTTTATTTGTAACTCAAAGTGTGTATAGTACAATACATCTAAAATATCAGTTAAAAAAATTACACACTTGGGGCAAAAAAAGACAAAAATAAAATGAACACAAAGCCGTTATGGTTTTCATTTAAGCCATTAGTTGTTTTAAAGATATTGTTAAGATCTAAAAAAAAAAGAAAGAAACTAAACATGCTTAATGTGTATTGCCACTTTTGCAGCCACATTTGAGAAAACCTTACTATATGTTATGTGTTCCTGTTAACACAGCACACTGAAAAATAGCTTTTTTTAGAAAATACTTTTTACCTTTTAGATGTTTTGTTGCAGCAAGCAAGATGGCTGTTTCAATATTTTTATGAGCACCTTCTCAGTGATCTGTTCTTATAGGACTAAAATTTGAGGATTGTGTTTCTCTCATTAACTTCGTTAACATAGAACGTAGAAGCCCAAATTGTAACCCGTTAACTCCTCACAGCCCCTCCTAACATTACAAAGAAGGAGAAGCAAGTCAAAATCTAATTCTTTAGGAAGCCAACAAACCCTAACTCAAGTAAAAGCTGTTTAAACTGCAAGAAACATTTTTTAAATATTGTTTTAAGTATGCTATGTGAATGGGAACATGTAACAATTATAAAATAGGTGTTATCCTAATTTGGCTTCAAGTGTGCAAATACACTTTAAATGTATTAATTTAAAGTATTTCCGGGTACAGGCACCCTAGCCTTATTTAAACTCAGATAACAATTGTTGTTCCTAATTATGAGTATCTCATATCATAAACATGGGGTTCCAAAGGGCAGAGGCACACATTGCCTGCAAGTGAACCTGAGCCTTGACTCTGTTATGTAAAGGGGAGAAAAAGAACAGTGATTTGTGTATTATCCTCAAGGATTTGGACATGGATAGTGGAGGGTTCCAGCACTCTGATAACTCACTTGTTGATGGGCAGATGCCTTCCTGCTTGTCATTTCATGAAGACATCTGCCTATCTGTGGCATTGCATGAATACATTTCTGATAGTTTACAATATACAGCAACAGTGTATTTTTTCAAAACAGCTATACTTTTTTTTTTTTTAAATCAATCTTTGAGGACCAAGCTAGTGACTGTGCTTAAGATGGAAGCTACAGATGGGGTGAATGATGCCTTTCGTCCAGCATTTCTTAACCTTCAGTCATGGGACCCTTTAAATGTATGAAATCCTCAAGGCACCCCAGTCTAAAATGTAGTGGATTTTAATAAGGGACCCCCAAAAAAGAGCTTCCTCCCTTCACATCGAAGTCCTACCTTTAAATCAGGAGCCCCCTTAACATCATAGTCCCCTTACACATTAGAATCCTTCTTTATATCTATAGCCCCCTTTACACTAGAAGCCCCCCTTCACATCAGGAGTCCCTTTTCACATCAGGGTCCCCCCTTATATCAGAAACATCAGTCAGGCTGTGACATTGTAACTTTGTAGCAAGAAAGAAAGTGAAAGGCAGCAGCTTCTAAACACTATTTAATTGCACCTCTGTCTGGAGTGAAAATGAGTCTTTGAGCATCAAGCAAGTGACCTTGCTTAGGATGGGAGGTCCAGACAAGGTGCTAGTTTTCATTGTCCTTTGTTTTCTTCATGCTTCAACTGTCTCCTTTTTTACCTGAATGGCAAATCTAATGTAATCCAATTAGGTAAACAGCAGGGTGTCTAACACTGTGTCACAGAGATTGTTTTTCGGGGGAACAAAAGCGCAGACCAGAAAGAAATGTGCATAGCAAGTAGAGATGTTGTAAATGTTAAAGATAATTCTTTGTTTTGCCATGTTCAGAAAAGATAAACTCATATTAAAAATGTTTTCGTAAACTAACAATAATTATTTCTGTTTATGGTCTACAGCCAGTAGGTTCCTTTTCTCATGTTTATCAGGCTAATGTTTGCTGAAAAAATAATGTTACTTACTGAGCTCAATAACTCAAGCTTAAATTACATGCATAGCTCCAGGAATCAGAGAAATCACTCATTCATACGTTCTTCACCCCCCTTCTCCCTGCTCTGTATGGCTCTATACATAATTTCAGCTGGAGAGAGAGAGCATGAAGGAAGAAACCCATTGTTGTGCTCTCTCTTTGGAAAGCCTGTTATGCTCTTGAAAACATGTCATGGGAGTGCCATGTATTGAAGGAGAATTTCCCCATGCTTTGTAAAGAAAAATACCTATCACTCATACAAATAAAAAATCCTGTATGCTCCTAACATCGTTAACATCGAAATCCCAAGCAGTGTTGACTGCCCTTTCCATTCTCCCCCTACACCTCCAGCTTCTTATCCCTGTTACAGGAACTGGATATGTTAATATTTAGTTATGTTTTGTAGCCATGTAGAGGAGAACTCAGGAAGAACTGACAAGACTTCTTGGATTTTTAGTGAAACAGAGGCAGCACTGTTAATTCTCTAGAAAGTTGGAAGCACACATTAGAAAGTTAGGAGCTCATTTTAGGAAGTTAGGAGCTCATCTTAGGAAGTTAGGAGCTTATCTTAGGAAGTTAGGAGCTCATCTTAGGAATATAGGAGCTTATCTTAGAAAGTTAGGAGCTCATCTTAGGAAGTTAGGAGCTTATCTTAGGAAGTTAGGAGCTTGTGGAATTTCTTACATATTTATTGGGTAGTTTTTTCTGTATTTCCTGCATTTTTTAAGCGACATGGAGAAATGTGCAAGCATTGCAGAGATGTGTTGAATGTGTTTTTTGTCCAGACAGAAATAAGTGCACTTATCCTTTTCTGTCCTCTTCCTTTCCCTTTCCTTATCTGCATACATGTTCCAGGGAGGCGGTGGAAGAGGGTCAACATATCAGCTAGGCAGGTAACATTCTCAGAAGGAGGTCATCAACAAGGCTGGACTGAACAATACGGGGAGCAGGCAGCCCACTACTAATTGGGTGCAGGAACAATGAACGCATTACCGGACACACATAGGGTTGTGTGTCCCATCAAAGTGTCCATGCTGCTGACCGCATTCTTCAGCACACCCTGTTGCCCTTCCCCGCTCTGCTGCTATGGCTGGCTCTGTTTTACAGCAGAAGCTGCTTTGTGATAGTGGGCTTCTTAACAGTATCCAAACGCTGTTTAGAATAATCATTAAGAAATATGACGAAATAACATTATTGTTACATTGTATTTTCTGTTTCATTCATGTGCAGATTCATGTACATATCATAAGGATGGCCTTCGATCTGCACATGATGACATTAATAGCAACCTTTCAAGTTAAAAAAACTAGTCAGCCCTAATCATTCCTTATTTACTCTTTCTTCCCCTTCTCCCCTTTCTAATATTTAAAGGAGAACTATGAGGTGAGTGATTTTCACTCACCTCATAGTTCTAGCCGACCTGTGAAAATGAGACTGTCACAGGTCGGCTCAGTAGTTCGGGAAGTGAGCGAACACATACCAGCGCTCACTCACTTCTCGATCCTCTCACGGCTCTCTGCCGTGACAGGGGAGGGGCTGGATTCCCCCCTCCCCGCTCCGATCCTCCAACGCTGACTGGCAGAACGGACGGGGGAGGGGGCGGGTACAGCTGGCTCTGCCTCTAGATAGGCAGAGCCAGCTGTCAGTCACGCAGCTGGGCGGATCCAGACATAATTGTCAGGATCCGCTTCAGCTGTGGTGTCTCAGTATACGGCGTCTGCTGTATATGGCGTATTCAGTATACGGCGTATTCAGCTGCGGCGTCTCAGTATACCGCGAGCTGTAGCGGTATACTGAACTTAGGGTAACGGGAGGATGCTAGTTTGTGTCCTCCCGTTACCCTAAGGAGAACTATGGGGAAAAGCCCTAACCCCATAGTTCTCCTTTAACCATTTTTGGTTTTTATTCCGTTGGTTTGCTAACTTCTGTTTGGTGTTGTATTAAATTAAAAAAACAGCCCTTATTTAATTTAAAAAGAAAAACAGTTCAGTGCTTCGTACCAGAAATCTAACTGTAGTTTAATTATAACAAGGAGAAATTATAGAATAAAATGTGAACTTTTTATTTACACCAGACATCCCAACTCTCCCAGACGCACAGGGAGTCTCCCACTCAGGGCCGGATTTCCCACAAGGCCAACCAAGGCCCGGCCCCTGGGCAGCAGGGAGTAGAGGGGCAGCAGGGGTGTGGAATATGAATAGCTAGATTGCTATTGGCTATTGTGAATCAGCAGAGGTTGACCTGACGTTCTCCATCAGGTCCTCTTCTGCTGATTGACAGCAGCAGAGGACGGGAGCAATAGCCACCCTCTGCAGATAGCAAGGGAAGCAATAGCTTCTTGATAATCTGCAATCATTTCAGGGGGGTGCTGAAAGAGGGCACCTCCCTGAAAGAGGGCACCTCCCTGAAAGATGGCACCTCCCTGAAAGATGGCACCTCCCTGAAAGATGGCACCTCCCTGAAATGAGAAGGGCACCTCCACTTCTCACCCACATGGCAGGGTGCCTTAGGATTAGCCCAGCCACTAAGACTGGTGTGGGCTCTTACAGTAGTGGCTGTTGAAAGGGGGGCCATAAAGTGTTTTGCAGCCTGTGTTGAGAGGTAGAAAGGAGGTCTAGAAAGGAGGTAAAGTAAGGACATTAGTCATCAGCGGCAGCCTCCATATCTCTCTCATGGCAGTTTTCCTTTAAAAAAAATGGAAATCACAATATTGAAACAGTAATCACAGCAATGTACTAGTCACAGCGCATTGCCTGTTTCGGTGGTTAGATAACAAAAAACGAAAGGATCAGTGAATTTACAGATTGCTTTATAGACACTTTCTGCTCTGTGTAGCATGAAAATGCTGAGGATTATCTAGAGCTGACCTCTTATTTATGGCCTACATGCTCAGCCTCCTGCCTATTGATTATTTGAAATGCAGGCAATCATTGTAGCTTTTCTTTGTGCTTGTTTCTAGGTCAGTGTAAAAAGATTGTGGCGCCCGAGTCCGGCTCCTACCATATTGTGCACGGCAATGGCTCTTCAGTGGGGACTGTTATCATGTTCCAGTGCTCCTCTTCCTATCAGCTGGTCGGGGACGGGTTAACCACCTGCATCTGGAAGGGTAATAGCACCTTATGGACGTCGGGAGCACCAACATGTAAACGTAAGAAAGCAACTTTACTGTCTTTTCCTAGTACTAATATGTAGAGAACAATTTCATGAAGTTGTTGAGTGGTTCGGAAGGCTGCTTTATAGCTGTAGGGTTCTGGTTATAGCAGAACTCCAGGCAGATACAAGAGATGCAAATTCATACGGCTCTGAATTTATTAAAGCTGAAGTTTAATCTGCATATATTTTGTCCTCTCCTCTTCATCTGCCTCATCAACATGTATGAAATCTTATATAAAACCTTTCTGTTTTCATTTCATTCTTTATTTTAGACCCGGTAGCATCATCAGTAGGTTTCTGTTCTTCTCTGTGCTATGTAGGCAGATCATGGCTGGTGGGAGGTGACAACAGGGGGCTGTACATAGCTTTCTGAAAACAGAACACCACCCTGCCTCAGTACTGCTCTCATGAGCCCTCAGCCCTGATGCAAGCAGTGGGTTGACTCTGGGGAGGATTTATGCAAATATCAAAATGCCTTGATGGGTGGATGTCAGTGTGGAAGAGTGGGCATTGCTAGATAGACTGTAATGGCAGCCCTGGGTCATACCCACATGTGATGCTGAGCCTCTATTATTGGAAGAACTGAAATTCAATGCATGAAAGTGCCAGGCCAGAGACAGTCAGACTGGGGGGGGGGGGGGGGGGGGGGGATGA